TGCCTGGGCATTTTGGCACGTCATCGTGCTCTGGTTTCTCACTCGAAACAAGTTTCAGCTGTCCACCTACGGGTCTCGTGGATTCCTGTATTCCGGACCATGTCGAGACGTGTAGCGCCAGCCGCTCGTCTCAGAAAGCCCATTTAAGCCGCTTGTTACTGAGATCGAAGTTTCTCAGTCGCGGTCCACCATTCATGAATGTAAGAAAGCATGGGGATGAAGATCTACTTGAACATCAACAGGTTAGTCTTCAAACTCTGTTCACAATGGTTCGGCCTTGTTCAAGCGGAGCGTCACTGACTGCTCCAATTCGCCGGACTGTCATCTTGAATTTTTCATCACCATTAAGCACGACCCTGGGGTACTTGATCTTACCCACCTGCTCCACTGCTTTGCCGCTTATCTCCAAACAGCAATGGGAGTAAACACGAGAAAGTGTTACGCTTTTGGTTTTACATACGTTCACACTTGGCTGCTAACCTTTCCAGCTAGCGCTATGGATCAGATTCAGAAGATACCAACTGAACGAGGTCGTCTGCAAACAGCAGCCTACTCATTTTAACCTCTCCTACACTGATACGTTCATCGGCTTGACTGCGCCTGACTATTCTATCCATGTACAACACAAACAAGGGAGTGACAGAATGCAGCCATGGCGGAAACCACTGTAGAGCAGTTTCAACTTAGCACGTTTTACTCTGACACAGCACCTTCTCTCAGCAATTAGTGATTGGATGGCCCGTAGCAATTGGCCCTCGATCCCATATGTTTCCTTGCATGCCCATAGAGCATTGCGCGAGATCCGGACATAAGTCTTCACTACGTCAACAAGGCAAATGTACATCGGATGGGCGTACTCCCACCAGTTCTCAACAATCTGGCGCTGGGCAAATATATAGTCAGAGGTGCTTCGACTGGTCCAGAAGCCACACTGCTCTTCTCATAACTTGAGATCAGTTATTTCCTGACACCTCTTTTCTAGCGCCTTTGCGTAGACTTTACTTGCCCCTGTAATTAGAGCATTCCCTGTGGTTTCCCTTGTTGAATACGGGTATAATAGCTTCCTCTTTCCAGTCCGCTGGTGTTTTTCCCGCAGTCATCGCAGTTTGGCAGACACGTGTAAGTCAGCATATGCCTTGTTCGCCTAATGCCATTAGCATTTGCGGATTTTATCTAGTCCAGCAGCCTTTCATTTTTCAAGCTTTTCACAGCTTGGGCCATTTCATCTGCAGAGATGGTAATATCCGTTCCCCCTGCTCTTCAGGCGGGTCTTCTTGCGGTTTTTCGAGGTAAGGAGTTCCTCAAAGTATTCTCTCCATCGCCGAAGAATGCCCTTATCCTTGATAAGAGGGTGTCCAGATTTGTCCTTCAAGACTCTGAGACTGCCTTTCTTTTCATTTCGGTCTGCCGGCGGATGGTGCGCCAGAATACTCTGTTTTCCGTGTGAAAATTTGGCTCTAACGCTTCATCGAACTTATCCAAGGAATCAGTCTTGGCTTTCGCCACTGCTTTCGCTGCCGCCCCGCGTGCCTCGACATATCACATGCGAGCTGAAGGCTCTTTGTTATCAAGCCAATTTCTGAATGCAGCTTGCTTCTCGATGACAAAAAGTTGAACCTCTCGTGTCTACGAGGAAGTTCGTTTCTGACCTCTAGGCGGCAAGCCAACCTGTCACCGCATTTGGCGGCAACCGTGGGCGTGGCGTAAGCAGCTTCCTCTTGTTATGCACATCGGCGGTCATCATCGCGATCTGTTCAAACCATTGTGCTAT